AATTTTAACTGGATCAAATTATTGTGGGGGTCATGACCCTCCTAACCCCCCCAGCAAATTACGCCTATGGGAGTAACAACTTTCTACTTCTTACCTTTTTATAAAATGTAAGGGATAGAAAATAGCTACAGATAATTGTGTGAAAATGTGAGGAACAGAAGTAAAAATGACAGTAATAAAGTATTAAAGTATTTGCACTTAGTTACTCTCCAGCTCTGCTCGTGTCTCATCCTGTGGTGGTGAAACTTTGTCTCTTTCTGACACAGCCTCTGCTGTGATGCAGCCGCAGCATCACCAAATGTGGTTGCCACGGCAACCGAGATCCGGGTGACGGCCGGTCCTCGTCGAGCATCAAGTGATTTTATGAGTCATGTTCGGAGAAAACCCGCAAAACCACCCCGAAACGTTTCCACCGTCCGCACCACGAGCAGAAATGATGATCGGAACCGAACCCGGTCGGTACACACTCACCGGTACCATCCGAACGAATCCCGAGACATTTGAATAAAAAAAAACGATTAAATTCTTGTCCCTCCTCCTCCTCGGAGCACACCGGGTTTCCCCCGCATTCTTACCTGGACGTACAGAGGCTTTCTGAGGACCCCCCATGGAAGCAGACCCTTCGCCATGGCAGACCCGGACCATCTCACAGCAGCTGTTGACGGAATGGGTTCGGCGCGTGCTCCACATCAGACCGAGCTGTGAGACTGAAGAGGAATCCTGGAGGTAAGAGGTGAGCTGCAGACCAGAGGTGCATCCTGAGCCATGACTGCTGCTGGAGGAGGAGGAGGAGGAGGTGCGGACCAATGACAGCGCGAGGAGGAACCTGCGCGCACTAACATCAAGCCCGCGCAGGGTTCTGGCTCTTTTTGTTGTTGCTTGTCTTTTGCAAACGGAAATGTGAGTGCAAGTGTCCAATAAATGCTTTGCATTATAAACAATTCATTAATTACTGTAACCAAACACCACTCTGGAAAATAAACAGACTTTTATCACGTGAATGCTGAGTCAGCAGGGGTGTCACCAGGTTTTAAGGACAAGGGGGGCTTAGCCCCCACGAAACGCATATAATTTTTGTATATTATATATTTGTATTGTGTGTGTGTGTGTGTGTGTGTGTGT